CTTCTACATATAGAACATGTTTCCATCCCTTCCAGTTTCCACAACTCGTGAGAAATAAAACAGATAAAAATATCACATCAGTAGGAAAACGAGAAAAACTAAGTTTACTGAAAATATAATTTAAAAGTATAATTGTGTACAGCTGATTTCAAGTAATGGGATTAGGAGCTGAAGCAACAAACTAAGGTTTACTTGCCTGGTCCACATCACATGCAAGTCGAAGCAGCACAGGAAATGTATGCTTATACAGGCGAGACATGGGTGGGCAACTCTGTTGTCCTTCAGGAATCTGTGAAGCCTTTCCCAGCATGTACACAACTATACTGTGCAGGAGCTCACAAGCTGCAACCTGGAAAAAAGAACCCGACTAGCTATTTCTAGTTAAAATTTATACTGTACACACAAAAAAATCTACATAGAAACACTAGGGAAATTTTCTAGCCTTTTTATTACTATGTACATAAAATATAGTAAATCAGCAAAGCTGCCATTCAGGTTTCTTTACTTAGAAAAAGCACTGTACAAATCCAAGACTGAAGTATATTTCTTTTAAAGTTACAGTTACTTAACATTAAATATATTATATTTAATAAAAATTGACCTAATATAATTAAAAATTACAGCACAAAAGTTAACATATAGCTCACCCTGGCTGTTACATCAAACTGAAAGAGCTACTATTATGTATTTTTCTGGCATAAAATTAAAATCAGAAACAATGAGCTTTAACATGAATACAAAACCACTGGATTTTGCTTGGGGATACAAGTAGCTCAAAAGTCACATGCTAAAATATTAGTGTTACTAGGAAATAAATAAGAATTTAAGCATAACATGGTCATTGCATCTATCTAGGCATAACTTATTTTCTTTCACAATGCCCTCTAAAGCCTGCATTTGATGTCTACTTTTGCATTAAGACCAGGACAGCAGCAACAGTACCTTAGTCTGCCTATCACTAGCATAAAGAGCCAATTCAGCAACACGAGGCAAAAATACATCCAAGTAGATAACAGGCTTCATATCCGCAAATGGAACTGCAAAACTCAGGTGCTTCTCTGTGTCCCAGGACACAAACTTCTTCATCGTTTCCTCTGCAGAAGCAGCTAATATATTTGAAAAAGAGCATACACACAAACAAGTTCCATTAAAGCAGAGAGCAAGACTTCCAACAAATCCAAGCAAGGAGCAGCAGGGCTTAAAGTATTCAAATTTAACAGATAAAATTTGGGTTCAGGAGGAGGTTTGACAGTTATTTTTTATGGGGAGTGGAAGGCGGGACATCAGGAGGAGGGGCTGTACTGTATATATATGTGGAGCGTGTGTGGAGAAGTTAGGAGAAGCTGGAGGGGAGCTGAGAGAAGAAGCTTGAGTGGGAGTCTGTGTGTCAGACAGGGTACTACTGTGTGTCAGTCAGTACCAACCTGATAGGTTCAGGTGTCTGTATGGTTAGCCAGAACTGATAGGTTCAGGGTCTGTGCTTCAAGTTAAGTGTTCTGTGTGAACCAAACTGTGTGTATGTATGATTGAGACTAAGCCACGTTACTGTATCTTATTCACCTGATCATTTTATTTTCCCTGTGTGTTGTTTTAAATAAACCTTATTCTTTTATTTGTTGAAAATCCATCCCTGGTCTGTGTGACTTCTTATAGGGAATGGTTGGTGGCAGCTTAGTGAAACTGTGGCATATCCCAGTAGGCCTGGGTTTGTCACAGTATTTTTCTGGCATAAAATTAAAATCAGAAACAATGAGCTTTAACATGAATACAAAACCACTGGATTTTGCTTGGGGATACAAGTAGCCCAAAAGTCACATGCTAAAATATTAGTGTTACTAGGAAATAAATAAGAATTTAAGCATAACATGGTCATTGCATCTATCTAGGCATAACTTATTTTCTTTCACAATGCCCTCTAAAGCCTGCATTTGATGTCTACTTTTGCATTAAGACCAGGACAGCAGCAACAGTACCTTAGTCTGCCTATCACTAGCATAAAGAGCCAATTCAGCAACACGAGGCAAAAATATATCCAAGTAGATAACAGGCTTCATATCCGCAAATGGAACTGCAAAACTCAGGTGCTTCTCTGTGTCCCAGGACACAAACTTCTTCATCGTTTCCTCTGCAGAAGCAGCTAATATATTTGAAAAAGAGCATACACACAAACAAGTTCCATTAAAGCAGAGAGCAAGACTTCCAACAAATCCAAGCAAGGAGCAGCAGGGCTTAAAGTATTCAAATTTAACAGATAAAATTTGGGTTCAGGAGGAGGTTTGACAGTTATTTTTTTTTAAAAAAAAGGTTTGACTTCATTGTGGAGATGTCTTTCTTGGCTATGGATGCTTCGATATAGTGGAACCCGTGATCCTTCACCCACAACCCTCCTGTGGTCATAGGTCATTTTCCCACTTTGCAACATGCTGGAAATCCCATGGGGAGGTCAGCAAATAACGGAGTCACTCAAATTAATTTTTTTTCTACAACTGGACAATAGTTAAGGTCACTTTAGTAAAATGTTAGCAAGTGCTTCATAACATTTTTCTTCAAGCAACCAACGTACTTCAGGCTGAGGTTCAATGGGAAAAAATAGAACACGCTTCTGTTATTTTTATTTTTCAATGTTTTTGCTTTCAGTTTTATCACTGTTGTCATAAATTCAGTTTTAGACTTATATTCTGTTCTGGAAACAGAAGGGGAAAAATCATTTCAGCAGGTTTCTGAACAGAAATTTTGAAATATACTTAGTGAAAAAAAGAGATGCAACTGGAAATTTAAGTCCCAGGCCCTAGAATAGACTCAGAAAAAAATTAAAACAGAGTGGCAAACACAACAAAAAACACAATTGAAGTTTGCCTTAAATCCTAACCAACCAGCTTAAATGGTTTAAAAATGTGTATGAATCCTAACTTCCCAAAACCAAGCCAAAAATACTGTTGCAAACATACAAGGTCATACCTTATCTGCCTTAAATCCTAAGCAAAGCCAGAACATTTCAGCTCAACGCTAAAAATGCTCAAATTTTTCAAAAATCACATTTCTAAAATTACATAAGCCTATAGTCTTTGTGTTGCTCTAGTGTTTCTGTAAATGCTAGATGAGTAGAAATAAAGCAGACCACGCTTATTAGAGAAGAACAAAATTTACAAATTCCAACTTCTCATTTGACATCCATGAATTATTTTGGGGGAAATTTCTCTGGACAGACATACTTTAAAATGTTTGCAGTCTATATGCTGTAGCTTATTAAAAAAAGATACTCAAACAGGTTTTTCCAAAGTTCTTATTTGCAAATAAAGAGATAGAAAGGGGAAAGATATTCTGTCTCAATATGTTAAATGTGCTAATGACAGTAACATATGAACAGGGTTGTTGTGAATGAAGCTCATAAGGAATTTGAGCGGGATATATTAATACACACTTTCAATGCCATAATATAACTCCAATAAAAGCATTTCCAAAGTAACCGTATACATGCAGTTTTTATGCAAATATCATATTTATCCAGTTGTGAATACTATAGCAGGTAGCAAACAAAAGCTAGAAAAACAGTCAATTTATGGACCTTGGCACTTTTAGAAATGTGGTATTTTGGAATTCAAGCACTCCCAGTCCCATAATTCAGCAGTACCCCCCCCCCGGCTGAACTATAGGATTGGTAGTCTTCAAACTGGCAAGATGTAGAGCAGCCCCCCTCTGCTCCATACAGTTCCCATGCTGCTTCTTTGAAAAGTTATAAAATTGCCCTGCTGCACTATAGTAATCATGAGGATTCCCAGTGACTTGCAGAAGTGCATGGGGGAACGAGTTTGCAAGGAGGCAGCCCCACTGGGATTAATTTCTCCAAGTCCCATTGCAAGTAAGGGAATCCTCACAACTCCTGTGGTGCAGGAGGGCACTTTTCTAAAAGGTCAAAGAAGTGACACAAGAACAATATGGAGGTAATGGGGTGGCTCTACCCCCTGCCAGTTTGGCTAGCAGGGACAAGATTTTTGGGATCCAAGGACGCCTAATCCCGTAATTCAGTCTGGGGGGGGGGTTCTGGTGAATTTTGGAAGTAGGAGTCCTTGAATTTAAAAAAATCTCACGTCTATTTGCCATATCTCTCTTGTCCACTGTGATGCCTAGAAACAAATATGCCTAAAATATTTATTGATTGGGATTAACAGCTTTTAACATTCAGATACATTTTTGAACACGCACCTGTAACCAAATTCCGATTGATTTGTCCTCCTAGAGATCCAAGTAGGCAGACAGCTCTAGCTCTCACTGCTTCCAATGAAAGATCCTCCTCCTACAAAAAAATATTATTGCAAGAGGAGAATGACTTGGATTTATAGGTGTAGAAATGTCAGCACGTTTTTCCTCAGCCTAAAGGTATGGTGTGTGTAAAATTTTAAAAAGAGGATGGAATTAAGAGTTCTTAGTTCAGAATTGTATAGAGTCCACTATTTCAGATTGTTACTGGGGGAAAGGATATTGTTCCTTTTCTTTTATCAAAGCTCTTGCTATGAACTGCTGAAGTCTCCTAGAAAGGAGCTTCTGAAACCAGATGTTTGTTTTTGATTGTGTGGAATACTGAAAGAACAAGCCAGTGGAAGACATGTGTCTTAAACTGCATTAATCCATATTCTTAGTTCTAATGAACACAGAATTTTGAACAGAAATGCATTGATTGTTGTGTGAACATATTTACTAGTAAGTCCCACTACACTAACTGGGAAGCATATTGTGTACTGAATGATTAACATATAAGTTAGCAAGTTTGTTATTTTGAAAATCTGCACAGAAGGTGTTATAGCCATAAGTCATCATCATTATCAGATGATGGTCAGATTTTAGATACAGTACTACATTATTATATAGTAATGCAGTCAACAACAAAAACTGGAAGCTATTAAGTGTTTTGGTCTCAATGACATCTCTGGATCATACCCCCATGCTTTTCAAATAAATTAGAACAAAATACCAATATAAGAATGCCTTCATGGGCTTATGGGCTTCCTGAAGTGAACTGAGTACTGAACTATGCAAAACAGAATGACAGCCTCTACGGATTGGTATTCTAACCCAGCTCTGCTGTCCACACTCTATACGCATACATTCTCAAAACAAGAGCAGTCTTCAAATTAATTTAGCTAGTACAGCGCTGTTGAATTCTGAATTATGCAATATGCTTGCAGCCATTATCACTGCAGGATTTTAAGTCTCTGTTTTAGTAATTGCCAACATTTAGGCTAGTAACTCTGAAGCTTAAACTTTGATGAAAATTGGAATATGCTGTTCAAAATGGCTCGGGAAATTTTGGCAGATTTGGCATTTATTGAAAAAAATCCACATTATAATTTATACAATAAATCACAATTTTGAAAATGCACACAGGAAACATGTTTAAATTAAGATAAGATTGTTAAGCAGAGCTCTGCTGCAGGGGTTTTGTTCACTGTCCAAAATCTAATGAGCTTTGCACTTTTATATAGAAAAGTTGATTTCATGAGCATGACCATTTATAACTGTAATTCAAATGTTGGCCAGAATCCCCTTTGCCTATTGGGCACACAGGTAAGACATCTTTAGGTTTATGAAAGGAAAGATCTACACAGTAATTAGTGAAGCAACTCTGCAGCAGGACACTAGTCATTATATTTAGATTTCCCCTTCATTTTGTTTTTTAAATGGTGTGATTTCATAACTATTATATAGGCAGATGGATAGTTAAAAGGCTGCAAAAACATTTTGAATAAATAATCGTACCACATTAAATTGTTATACAAGGACATTCAGAGCAGAATATGAAATATGTGTTCGTTACTCAGGGTAATTGACTGCAGAGATGTAGATATGTAACCAAAATAAGACTATCACTTTATACTCATTTACCATAGAGATGGCTCTTCGTTTGAACGGTAAGCAAACATATGCTTTGATCTCCTAATAGCAAAGGTGATCTTTCATAAAAGAAAATTTTACCGATGCAAGGCTCCTTGCTTTCTTCACACGTTGTATCACCACTTTGTTTAAGCCCTTCTGGATTGCCCGGGAAAGCTTCTTCACCTCCCAAGTATTCTGAAAATCATCTAATTAGCAAGAAACAGCTCATTTTATTAAACTCTATTTTCTGGCATTTTATGCAAGAAAGAGAAGTCCTAATGTGTGCTTTTCAAGAACTGGTTTTGAAAGGAGAAAACTTAATACAAAAGGTGAATGACACCAATCCAGTTCTACAATGGATTGCTTCCTGCGGGTTCACATCCTATTTAATCATACCCTTTGGCTTCAAGGAAAAACACTGACCAAGTATAACAATTCATAAGGAAGACAGAAACTTTGTGGTAGAGTGTTATATGCACATACCCAGCCTTTCACATCTCCAGTTCAAATATGAAAAACTATGAGATCTTGAACAGGTTCTGCCAGTCAGAATAGGCAACACTACAATACATGAACAAATATCTGCCCTGGTATAAAATGATGTTACAACCAGTAGAGCACAGTTGCCTTAAAAGTAAACATGAAGGAATAGTAACTGCTGTTTAATATCACTATCAACCTACTCCAACTTGGGACTCTGCAAACAAAACCTTCTGTAAGTCATAAGTTAATTTAAACATCCTGAAATGCTCAGTTTCATTTTAAAGGTTCTATTTTGGAAAGTCAGCAAAACTAGTCCCTGACATCTTTTCATTATCAATATGTGCAATTACGCACTCAGTTGGAGCTATCTGCTGAAAAACATGGCTATAAATGAAGTTCTGATCATGGTTTGTGATTAATATGAGCTCAGGTCTTACTGACTGCATTCCAGGCCTTAGAGTCCAACTTTGAAAAACTGCTCAACATTCCAGTAACCTCTCTTAATACAAAAGGTTTGTCTGTAATCCAGGTGGAATGAGACTTGCAATAAAGTAACTCTGGGTAACTGTAATAGTTTCGGGGGATGTTTAAATCCAAAGGATTCCCTGAAGTGATTCAACAGGTAATCACAGTATGGAATATGAAGGTCACTGACTTTAACATCAACTTGCACTGTCTCCATCCTGTCATGGTAGAGTACCTTCAAAATTCTACCAACCCTTCTTACTACAAAGGTGCAATAGAAAATCCTGCAATCCAAGATTTTTTTCAATCAAGGAAGGGTGAAAACCTAGACAAGCTAATCGCAATAAGATAGGAGCTAAAGGTTAAAAGTGTTATCTTGGTCCTATTATTGTGGTGTGGTGGCTGTGGTTCCCAACCTTGGGCCCCCAGATGTTCTTGGACTACAACTCTCAGAAGCCTTCACCACCACTTCTGCTGGCCAGGATTTCTGGGAGTTTAAGTCCAAGAACATCTGGAGGCTCAAGGTTGGGAACCACTGGTGTAAGGCATACACTGGAAAAGACCACTACCTTTTTTCACCCAAGTGATATGATTTGGTGGAAACTCACCTACTATAGAGAACTAAGTTAGAACAGCCATGTCTCTATTTGAAAATAATCAAATTCAATGGATACCAGCTATCTATATAATCAAATTCAAGATCTTTTTCCCTACTGAAGGAAAACAACAGCACAAAAAATCTTGGCATAAGTAACTATATTGCAGATGGCAGGTGTTTCAGAGTGGAAGACTAAGATTAGAGCTACAGAAAATGTTTAGCCAATGAAAACATTGAAAAAAGCTTTTCTTTCTACTTACTGCAAGAATTGCACTTTGCAAAACTTACAGGTATCATAAAATATCAGGCATCTGCTAAATAGCAGAGGCCTCCTATTTTGCAATACAAATGCTAATATATTTAGTCAACAATATGGAAGGCAGTGAAAGAACACTGTCTCATTTTCAAACATTCATGTTTACTTTGTACCTGTGGATTTAGATGTTTTCAAATAACCATCAAGGCAAGGCAAGATATCCTTATAGTATGGTTGCATTGCATGTCTGTCAATATAGGTTGACCAATCCTCCAGTGCATCCAATGCCACGTTAGCCATTGGGGTGTAGCTAAGGCCTAGTTTAAAGGCATTCTGCACAGCAAACAAAGAAAATGGTTAAATGGACACCCGCTTAATTTCTTAAGTTATATTTTTTGCTTCTGATTAGAAATCAATGTTGATTTGGATCTATTATGTTATGATTTTAGTATATTTGTTCCAGAACAATGTAGGTCAGGTATGGTGGTCAGCACATGCTGTATGAAACACTCAAAACAAAAACAGAAGCACACATGACACAAGTGCAAATTTGTCACTTAAGTCTTTGCATCCCCTTGGGAATGCACCCTTTCACATGTTGATAATGCAAAACATATTACCAAAAGCCACAGTCAAATAAACATGCATCTTATTTAAGTGGAAATAATTTGTGGAGTTACATTAAGGGAAAAATCCTATGTTGCTCATTCAATGTACTGACCCACCTGTAATGCAGGAATGTATGCTTTAATATCCAGCATGATGATATTGTGTGGCAATGAGAGCACAAAAGTCAGACAAGATGCCAACAGCTCGTCTTTGTATTGCTTCATTTTTGCTGTGACCTTGAGAAAGAATTAAGGATCTGTAATGCAATCTCTCTACACACTGACATTCAAAGCATCTTTAAAAAGGTATATTGGTAACATGAAGATATATTTTAAAACAAAGCTGCAATTCTAGGCACCCCTTTGTTCTATTAAAACCAATTAGACAGATTTCTATGTAACAGCTTGAGGAATTATATTTTGGATCTGTCAGTACTAAAACTGTCCAATTGGAAACTAGCCTGCTTCAAACAGTGTGTGTTTCAATACTGAGTCAGAACTCTAGAAAGTCTATGGGCTGTGCTTCAATACTGTTTAGGAAAACAAATAATTCACAAATCTACCTTTTTTGCACATCTCAAAAGATTTTTAACATACTTCAAAGGACAATTATAGAAAACCGATACCTCTTTTCCAAATTTGGCAAACAGGGCAAAACAGGAATGCTTCTCTGGGTCCTCAGGACACTTTCTCTTACTCTTTGAACCAACATCCTGGCAAAAAAAGAAAGAAAGAATACACAGAACTGTACATATTTTACCAGTGTTACTTTAGTGTTCTTTCTTTTATAGAAAGGGTATACTAGAGAATGGGCAATAGTCAGGTGATGGTTTGCACTCATCAAGAATACCCACATATTATAATGCAATATTGTTTTTCATGTAACTCTCTTTGGAAATTCCAACTGGCTCAGAATACAGAAAACTAGAATGAGCAAAACGGAACACATCTTGGTTACTCTTTTTAACAGCTTGATCCCTGAATCTCAATTATCTGTTCACATATAATAAACCTGCCTCATTATTAAAATTCTCATCGGAGCTCTTCCACTTGTCTATTGTTTGTAATGCCAACAGCATTTGGAAGGGAAACAGAAAGCTATGAAAAATAAGGAGTTTTCAGTTGCAACACCTCATCTGCAATACATTACACCCACCCATTCACTGAGTGCTCTTCTTAGTTACTTTTATACAACAGTCAAAAGCACTGCTATTTATGAAGCTTTGTCTTTCTCTCTCTTTTTCCACTTCTGCTGGGCTATTGTGTTTGATTTATTCTGTTGACAGTGTTCTATTTCTATAAAACCCTTCTACTGCATTTGCTATTTTTCCTGTTTTTAGTAATGTATTTTAGTTTTACTGGTTTCATGTGTGCAGATTTTTAAAATAAATTAAAACATTTAAAACCAATATACAGGAAAGATAATAAAACAGCACTAAAATAAATTAAGAAGTGAAATTAAAAAAAACTGAGCAGCAACTGCAATAACATGTAAATAGGTGCAATATACCAAATTCTCTTAAAACTATGAAATCCAACTGGCATCTGATGTACACATTCTATTAAGAGAATGTGCACGGACCATAGGAGTGATATATCAGCTGTCTGTGTCTTGCCACTGCTGGTTATTTTATCTGTGTAAATACTAAAAACAGCTCACTCCTACCAGGAATATGAGACCAAGTTGAAACCCTAGTTAAGAATGAACCCTAATTTACATTAACTATGTATGAACCACAAGAGAGCATAGTGAAGGAGAATATGTATAAACTGGAAATCACATGAGAAAGATGGAGGAAGGGTCCTTTAATCACTGTTGCAAAGGTTGAAAGTTGGATAGCAATGTGTGTTACCCTATATTCCTATACTCTAGAAGATCTGAACAGTAGTGCTAAACAACTTCCATCAAAATGAAATAACTTTTCTCTTAACTATCAGAAGAAAATGATTGTAATTATAATCAATATATAAAAGTCAAGAAGTCTGGTTTAATATTAATACTCTTGTTAACAATAGAAAATTGTGATCTCCACAAGAGTTTCCTCACCTTAAAATATTTTGTTTTCTTAGCAATGTTCATGGCAATGGACAACAGCTTGTAAAACCCACTAATAAGAGGTAAACGTGTTGATTGTATAATCAGCTCATAGCTAAATGAATAAATCCATGGTTCAAAATATTCAACATGCTTTTCTGGGAGGATCTCTCTGTAGAAATAAAGAGGAAATCAACAAGGAAATGTGATATTACAATAAAAATTTTTGAGGAAGTTAGCTTTTCTTCATTAGACCAATGAGCAAATGAAACTATTTTCAATAAAGATACTAGCACAGAGTATTTCATCCCATGCCAGGAAGCCATTATTAGTATGCCAGACACAATGCAATCAAATATTGAATGTGCTATGTACTGAGGAATGTAAAGATCACTAGTTTGGCTACCTGGGCAATACTGGAGAGAACTATGCTAATACAATAGACTAAAACATGCATCAAAACTATATTAGTTGATCCCAGAAAACATACTAGAATGTACCATACTTGCAAAATTCTACTAGGTTAATGAAAGCTGTGAAGTCTTGAGGCTTGATTGGCTGGAGGTTTGCCACTGGATCAGAAGCAGGGATTGTGAGATCAACATCAGCTTCATTTGCATCCTGAGAAAAAAAATATAAGCAGCATTTACAGCAATTATCTTCATCATTACGATCCAATGCAAGGAGTGGCTAATTGACAGTGAGCTCTGGAGCGATAGGAAGGGAGCGCAAAGGCCACGGCAGCAGTGGATGGTGAGTGGGCAGGTGTATTAAAGATGGCCAGGCCTTCGTTATGTCCACCTGTGGAGGGGTATTCATGTACGGATGTCTAATTATAAACTCTCCCAGTTTCCAACCACACAGTTTCTGACTGCAGTTTATTTCAGCAAAACAAAGTAAAAACTAATCACAGGCATAGCTTGTCCTCATTAGGACACAATGAGGAACTGAAGTGATCCAAGAACAGAAACAGAAACTTATGGTCTCCTCTGGGAGCTGTCCTGAGAATGAATTTGATCCTGCCTCTTAGTCACAGGGCAATAAATTATGGCATAACGTTGCATTTGAATAGCCAACAAATATAGTAATGATGGGAGTGGCATTTACAATTACATTAAAACACTTTTTTGGAAAAAAAACAAACAGAAAAGATTAATTTTCCATTGAGTTACTGTAGCTAGCTATGTTCATTTGCAGCCAGCAAAATAACAAAATTCTGTTGCACTCTTATGGACACATTTATTGTAGCATGAGATTTTATGGCACAACCACTTCCTCAGAGGGATTCATCTCTATTCATGTGAGAAAGTAGACTGCGAAGCCTCAGAAATTCATGCTATAGGAAAACTGTTAATCTTAAAGATATCACACTACCCTTCATTACTAAAAGTTATAGGATTATCTTTCATCCAAAAGGATCTTCCAAAAGCACGTCTTACCTTCTCTTCACAAATATTCTGTTTCTGAACTGTAAGATCCAATTTTTCAATTATTTTGAGGACGGACTTTATGAGCTCATCATATAACAAGCGATTTAAGGATTGTAATGGTGAATTTGCAACCGGGAAGGTTTCATCTGCTAACAAAGAGTCCTTCGTGAAAGAAAGGAAGAAAGAAGACACATTTTCAGTATAGTGTTGTGGACAATGTTAAATGGTTAAAATGTTATAAAATAAAGAAAATCTTAAGAGCTTATGAAAACAAAGGATATAGGCAAAGCATTTTTTAAAAGTCCTTAAGTGTACATACAGGATGGGCAATACACAGCCCTCTCAACATAGTAGCCCCCCACAACACCCTTATAATTTTTTTAAACCCTCAAAAATTCTCCATTGAGAATTTTAGAGAGTGTAAGGGAGAAGTACTGTATGTCATGTATCAAGTTCCCCACATAACCCCAGATTAGGCCAGCTACCTTTGAACAAAGGCTGGATTTTCCAATGCAAAAATATTAACCCATACAGTTAATATAAGCACAGAAAGCAAATAGTACATGTTAAGGATAGGAAAAACAATTCCAGTTTTAAAGAAAGCCCTGACCACTTAACTGTATACTGTATTCATTTTAAAATACCAGCATTAGAGTTTCTACCTTCATTGTGTCACAATCCAGTAAACTTGTAAAAAGATCCAGATAATCCTTATACGTAGGAACTTTCCATTTCCCAACCCTGACCTCTCCTGCTGTAGGAGGTTCTACTGGACTAGAAACATCTTTCACTGAATATTCCTGGAAAATAAAGTGTTCATTGATTTATATGAAACTACACAACTATCTATCAATAACCCTCAACAACTAATAGATCAGAAATCTGAATAGTGAAACTGCCTAATTTTAGAAGAATAACTGGCACACTACACCGGAACAAAAATATGAGCATCCCAGGAGATACCCTATCCTGCAGCACATACATTGGTCGCAATACAAAAATCCTTAAAACCTACTATGGCCTGAGCTGTTTAATACATCTGCAACAATTGAAACATAACTACAGTATCTAAAAACAGCAATTCAAGTATCTGATGATTTCCAACATACATAAGCACAAGGGTATTTCTCCCTATCCCTTCCCTCCTGCATCCCCTGGATTCACCCAAAAATATGTAAGAATTTGTTGCAAACTTCTGTTTTAGAAATTTGTAATCATAATGTTTGAACTGTGGGTTGATTTCCTAAAGAAACAATTTAAGGATGGTCTAAACTGCTTCTTCGTAAGTAAATTGAGCCTGGATACCATTACCAGAGGCTTGAGAAGGCACCTGAGCACCTCTGCCAATTGGTGGGCTAAGGCCTTTGAGCCAGTGATAGAATGTAGATAAAGGAAATAACTGTGACAAACCCAGACCTACTGGGATATGCCACAGTTTCACTAAGCTGCCACCAACCATTCCCTGTAAGGAGTCACACAGACCAGGAATGGATTTTTAACAAACAAAGGAATAAGGTTTATTTAAATAACACACAGGGAAAATAAAATGATCAAGTGAATAAGATACAGTAACGTGGCTTAGTCTCAATCATACCATTGGTGGGGTAAGGCCTTTGAGCCAGTGCTAGAATGTAGATAAAGGAAATAACTAGGCTGAAAAGCAAACCACACTTCAGTGAACACTCGGCAAGCTGCAAATTTCAGCAATGTCTAGACAGACAGCTTATAGAGAAAAGTCAACATACATACGATAACTTAAGAGCAACTTTGAAATATTGAAAGGAAATCTAATCCCTGAAGTAATTTTAAAAAAACAAGTTACAAAGTTACCAAACTGGATGGCTTGAACTACTCACTTGCAAGAAAACATATCAGAGTCCTTTTAGCATGAAAATGCTATCTTCCCTAGCTGCACATGTGGAAATAGTATAAGCAATACTATACTCCTGGTATGTGAGTGGTATGCCAAGTCATGTCAAAATTGTTTTGTGCATCTCCTGGAAAAAGGTTTGATGCATACAAAAAAAGAGAAACCTCCTAGTTTATTAAACTATTACATGTGGCCAACACATTGCTAGAAAATCTGGCCAAAACACAGGACAGAACTGCTGGATAGCTCAGTAGTTTAGGTCTCGGGCTGTGAAGCCAGAGGCTGGGGGTTCAATTTCCCACTGTGCCTCCTTGACAAGAAAATGATTATTAACAAGCAACAATAACTTATGAAATAAAAGTCATGGGAACAAAGCTATTTCAATACATGTAAGGTAAAGGTAAAGGTTCCTCTTGACAATTTTTGTCCAGTCATGTTCGATTCTAGGGGGCGGTGCTCTTCCCCGTTTCCAAGACATAGAGCCAGCGTTTTGTCCAAAGACAATCTTCCGTGGTCACGTGGCCAGTGCGACTTAGACACGGAACGCTGTTTTTCCTTCCCACCGAGGTGGTCCCTATTAAACTACTCGCATTTGCATGCTTTTGAACCGCTAGGTTGGCAGGAGCTGGGACAAGTGACGGGCGCTCACTCTGTCACGTGAATTCGATTTTACGTAGAAAAACAGAAATCTTCCCTCTGTTAAGCAGACCCTGGTCTATTTTACTAAGGATAAATTCTGTAACCCATCCTGAGATCTTGCAATATAGGGCAGGCTATAAAAAATTTTAATGAATAAATATTGCTGAAATTGACAGGCAGCAGGTTACTGCTATGGTTTTTCCTTTGCTCTACCACAGACTGAACTTTAGACCTATAGCGTGCAAATTGTTTTCCCTAGTTCCGAGCCATTACCCCTCCTGGACTGTCACATAAAGTAACAAAATCCAAATTTTAAAAAGACGTACCTTTGAAAAGGCAATTGGCTTAGAACATACTCTGATTAAACCTTGATGCACTGGAAGTAAAAAAATATATACATTTCAAGCTTTAAAAATGAACCCATCAAGCAGACTAAAAAGAGTCTCCAAAAACCCTATTAACAGATATTCTACCTTCCTTTCTTGAAAGTCGATAATCAGCAACTGCTGTTTTCCAGCTTGCTGTATCTGCATATGCACATATTTTATATTCATATCATATTCATGGTTTATATCAATTTATCTTTGTGGTCAAATAAATCAGAATACATAAAAATAGGAAGAACTAAAATAGTGAAATTATCGCTATCTACTTATTTGTTGTGAGCGTAGAAATATAGACGGACACTTGTAAACCACCCATTAATGAGAAGGAGAAAAACTTCTCAATTTCTGTGTTTCCCACCTCTTTCAAACCTTGTGACTACAGTGAATTATAGGATGAACTTAACTCAGCATCTAATCATATGAGATGATAGGACTGCAGTATGGAACTCTCTGACACTGGCCTCGAATTATCTCCATTTAGCATGCCCAGAACAATTTTGCAGAGGGGAAAGAATGGAATAGAGCAGTCTGCACAAACAGCCTAGTATTATACAGAAAAAGGAATTTTTGAAGTTAAGTGTTAACATTTCTACAAGTATTCTGCAGATGTCACCTACAACTGTTACAACTGCTGTGCCCCCAAAATATTACATACTTCTCAAATTTAAATGAATAGTATGAGGAAAGAATATTTACTTCCAAATAACACTTACCCACAGTGCTCATAAAACTCCACAATACAGGACCTTTTCCTGCCAGGGCTAGAAAGACCTTTACAATGGATTTGCAGCATGTAGATTGCATTTTTACACTGTACTGTGGAAAACTGTCTATTTGTGCTACAACCAGACGTTCAAGAACCGGAGTGTATACTTCAGGAATCTAGAAGACGAAGACCAATAATTGTGTAATGGAGAATAGCAACTGAGTATTCATTTAAAAGAAATCCCCAGAAGAACTTAAGCAGCTTTGTTTTTCAGTGTCAAGAAAAAAATACTTCCATCAGCATCCTCATTACAAATAGAGTCACAGGCCTCCTAAATTACAAAGAAATAGACTTAGAAACAAGGATTTAACTGCTCACTTACGGAGTCCAAGTAGAAGATAACACTTGCAATTGACTGAAGGAAACTTGGAAGCTGATACACGTGGTCATCAACTGTTTCTGCCTCAGTGAGATACATTTGCTTACAGCGCTGAAGGAGTTCAACATACATAAAGTCGACATCCTTTGAACTGATTGCTTTACATGGCTTTCAATAAGAAAAAAAAATGCAGATATGAATCTGGGTTCAAATAAATCATTGGATTAATACATAAATGGCAAAACCTTAGGCAGACACACAGAAGAATTTCTGAATCATGATTACCTATAGATATAGATATATCCTTTTACAGACAGGCATGAGCTTCTCTCTTGTATTTTGATAAATTAAACTTCTAATACCATTTATCTCTTAAACAGTAATACTGTAGCAGCTGTACACAGTAAACAAAGGTGGTGATTTATTTATTTATCAACTTTATATCCCTGTTTCTGCCAAAAATGGTGCTTATGAGGCTAATGGTAATAGAACTCATATAAAACAAATAAAAGATGAAAAATACATTCATAAAAAGGCACCCACACAGTTAAAACCATTCTTGCAACAACCCATAGAAAAATGTATGTTCACTGTTTGCAGTGACAGTTCTATTATTAAAAAGTGAGTAAAATAAAAATGTTCCACAATTCTAACATTCAATGTCTTTGGTGTATTATTATGCCATGATGTTAAATACATACTGCTGCAAAAAGGCCATATCCTCGAATAGCAATGGATAATTCTTTATTGCTAGCATCCATCTTTCTAATGATTTCATAAAACTGTTCCATAAAGTAACGCAGCTTGCTCTCATGCATTTTTACATCCTTTGCAATCATTTCAGAGATCTGCAAGTATAACAAATGGGACAGTTTGTAGATAATGCAACAAAAACACAATGCTCCGAAACTAACTTCTATTCAACAAAATCTCCAAATGAAGAGATCCCAAACTCGGTAAATGCAAGTGGGCTGCTAGAAGTTATTTTCCTAATCTTTCCATCCCACAGCAACTCCTCCAATCCCCTGAAATTCCTATGGTGGTGACAGTGATGGGGCTGCTGAATGAGCTATGTTGCACTGAAGGAGAGAATTCCCTGATTTCAAATAGAACAAGTGGAGACTTTACATCTACAAAAGGCAGATTTTAAAGTAACCCAACAAAAACATGTCATCACCATATAATAATGATGCAACAGCTCATTAAAAAGCCCATCTACTAATGGAAATATTAAATCATGCCACAACCTTATCATCTCAGAGAAATCTCAAGGACCACAGAGAAGTCCAAGACAGTCCGCAGAAGGGGAATCCAACAAACATAAAAATTACAAGTACTGCTTCTCTTTCCTTTACATCAGAATGAGTCCAGTAGGACTCTGGATAAGGTGATTTCTGCTCCTTCAGATCATCCCTTGCCCACCAAACGTACATCTGTAAGTACAGCTCAATTATGAATATCCCAGTATATGGGATATTTTGGCTTTGAATCCCTCACTGGAAAAAATCTACTATGTTCAACCAAAAAGAAATTAGGGTAAATAGGAATAAACATTAATCTAGGTTGGAAGACGGCAAGTGAAAGTCATGACAGGATAATAGATTCTCACATGGTTTACTAGTTTGACAGCAAATTGAAGAAAATAAAAACTAGGTTCTACACTGAAAAAGCACTTTGCTTTTTCAGGTTTATACAGTGTTTCACTTTTGGGAAATAAACATTTGATACTCCCTAATTAGATACAGTATTTTGTTACCTGTTTAAGAAATGCATCCAGAGCTGAATGGGCAGCTTTCTTCATTTCTACATTCTGGTGGCCACACCATTTACACATTACTTCAAATAATAAAGCATAGTTTTCCAGAAGGGAAGTACTGAATTGAACAGCATGTTTACTAAACAAATGTAGACCAGCTGCAAAGTAAAAGTTTTAATTTAAATCCAACAGACAACTTAGCTAATTGTACATATTCTTACACTTATGTATTTTCTATTAGGTTAATTATGTTCATTATCAATTAAAGGCTGAAATCCTGTTGGAAGAACTATGCCACTGAAGGCTGGTGACATCACCAGCCGGGGTGATCGTTGGTAATTAAAAATCTCCTCGTTCTGCCCTATAACTTTTGTGACTGCCATGTAAACTCTTTCATTGTGGAGAAGCTGGGGGATGGAAGAAGGAAGTCTCTGTGAAGGAAGAGCTGAGAGTGCGCCGTCCTCAGCGACCAGAGAAGCGACAGAGGACAGTGGGTGTAGAGAGGGAATATTGGTGGAGACAGAACAGGCTGAGCTGATTGTGACAAAACCAGAGGAGGTGTGCCTGGTGGATGAAGAGGGGGAGGAGCTAGATCTTATCTTGTGGGAAGAGATAAAAGGGACAGATAGCGCGCGCGTTTTCAACCTTTGGACAGATATCAACCCAGAGAGGACCAGAGACCGGGGGGTCCAGACAGAGCCCATGCTTGGGACCGGAGCCTCACCACAACTCGCAGGAGGTTTCCCCAACCTAGCAACCGGAGGAGGTTTGCTTCCAGACCCCATTGCCCCGGGGGTGCGAGGGAAGTGGATAGAACCGTTGGAATGGACTGTGTCGGTATATCCCCGTAACCTACCGGGTGGGGGACGGAGGGTGATTCGGCCCGGTCCTGAATTCCAGAAGAAACCTCCTGAGGGAGACTGGGTAAGGCATCCATGTTGCAGCACAGTGTGTGCAGTGAGGAGTGCCCCCCTCCACCCCATGACGGATCGGAAGAAGTTTGGGCCGGCACCCTTTTAGGTCAGGCTACTGGAATGTGGGGTACAAAACCCCAACGTTATCATTTGTTAAATGACAGTTATTTACAGGACCTGTTTGATCCTGTGGAATTAAGTTGTGTAACTAATAAACACGTTGATGTTGAAACTGATGAAGAGCCTCCTCGTCTCTTTCCCGCCTTTACAACGATGGCTCCCCCGGGCCCAGAAGAACTCCGAAAAAGTCTCTAATGACAGAAAACCTCCCCCTGCCAGTATTATCATCTGGTAGCATCAATTTTTGGAAGTTAAAGACCATCTCACAGGCTCCTCCCATCTCACAGGCTTTCACTCAATGGCATTACATGGGAGTTTAAAAAGTCAATAGATAGAAATGGGAAGTTTCTAATTGCAAAAATTCACTCCCTGCTGGCAACATCATCCCCCTTCCACAATATTTCAGTCAAAATATTTATATTTTGCTTGATACAACTAACCTTAATATAATAAAATCTTTGCTGTTCTTGATTCATTCTTACACACTAGTAAATACACATTTCTGGAATGGCTTACTCTGATACAAACTGGAACAGAAAGGCCTAATTCTATTGCTATGGCCTCTATTCCATTATTACTGTAAACACTATTTTATTTGTTAAGAAAAAAACAGATTACATATGTATGCTTTTCTAGAAAAAATGCTTTGGTAATGATTTACCACTGCACAGAACTGTTTTATATAAAACAGAAAGTTCTTACCAAGAGGCACTGCATATCGCTTTAAGTCCACCTACAATATCAAAACATTCAACATGTTAAAAAAAGCATCTATCACATCTACTTAACACACCAGAGAACTGCTGTATCAAAAGGGAGGGGGCATCCAGCATACCTGTGGACTTATTGACTTCACTGCAAAATCAAATATCTCTTTTGAGGTTTGTGGATCTGAAGAGAAGATAGCCAAACAAGGTCATTGTGTCATCATATAGATTTAAGTCTTACATTAATATGATGATATGCAGTCAGGTCTTTATTGAAATTGACTCAAACTTAAGTAACCTAGTGCAATTTTATCAGATCAAACAAAAATGAAATTCTTTCTAACTATATGCTATTAACGGCACAATGCTATACATGTCTGCTTAGTATAAACTTCACTATGTTCAACAAGGTTTATATCCCACTCAGTGTTCCTTCTAAATGCAGCTACCACCTACCCTGATAAATTTTAAGGCTCATTAATTTATTAGGACTACAGTATTCAATTCTTTCAACAACAACAAAAAAAAAACCCTCTGGTTTACAATTGTAGGAGATTATGTTTCTGTATCAACAATTCAAAATTGCAGGAAATGGCCAAATAATGCACAATACTGTACTTGTGTTGTTAGCAAGTAAGAAGAATGCCAAGATTTACACAGCAAAGGGCAGCTTGAATGTTGACAACACCAATGGCAAAAAAATATGGTCTACAACAGCAGTCCCCAAACCTTTTGGGACCACAGAGGCAGGGCTTTGTTGCAGTGCCAGTAGCTCCAGAGAAGAGCTCTCTCTGGAAAAACTGGAACCGTCTGGTCCAGGATCCCCTTTTTGAAATGGGGATCGAAGGAGAGTCTAGGAGAAGTCTCTCTGAAGCAGATGGTGAGCAGCAGAAGGAGAAGAAAGGGATGCAAACCCGGACTTCTTCCCTCTGAAGAAATCACCCAGCACGGATCGGAGCGGGCGCCATATTTGGCACGGAGCTGTGAGTAACCCTTTATCGGGGAGAGGAGAACAACCAATATAAGCTTAATATATATCACAACTAAGTAAGCTGAAGCCTTTGATTTATGAAACAGCCCCATTAAGCTGAAAATAAGAACGAAAATATTTGGCTGAAAGAAGAAAAGCAGCGGCGAGCCTATCTTATCAGTCTGCCTCAAAAGCGAAACTAACTTTCCTCCCCAAGTGAACTCTTAATATAGTAGGCTGATTTCAAAGCCGAGAGAGTGAGA